GGTGTGGAGTGTGGGCCCCCTCTCGGCCTATACCAGGGCAGGTGCTGCTTTGTATGTGCCTCAGGGCTGTACAGTTTGGGGGGAAGTGAGGCTATTTGGATGGGGGGGGTGTCTCTGCTCTTTTGAGAAGGAAAACATTAGCCCTGCTCCTCACTGCTATTGGGCAGCGCTCGGATAAGATACACACCGGGGTCCAGCCGGAGAGACGAGAGTTAAAGCAGTAACTTCTTCGGCAGCGAAAGTGAACTAAGGAGGTCAAAGGTTCACTTAGGAAGGGACAGCCCCCCCCCCCAAACACACACACGCAATCCCCTTCCCCAGCACACAGACGCGCCCAGGGGCCAGCGAAACGAAGAAAGAGCAGCGTTTACCCTCCCCACAAAGATCATTTCAGCACTTGCCAAGCTACCGAGCGGGAGATGCAAGTTTGGTTTTTCGTTTGATTGTTCTTGCCACTGTCCCACGGTGTGACCTCGGGCAAGTCACTTAACCTTTCTGAATAAAGTTGGAGATAACCCCCAGCCCCTGTAACCGTGGGGATGAGAGCTTAAACTGCTCTGTGACACTCAAGGTGTTGAGTCATTTTGGTCAGCCGGGCGGCAGGTAGGAAATGATGGAGGAAGCTGGAGGACTCTGGCTCAGCCCTGAGCAGCCAACCCTGGTATGGGGGGGGGTGGGGGGGGGGGCGGGGAGGCTGGGGGGAGGGGGGCTTTGGGGAGGCTCATCATTTAGCTCAGTGGTTCTCAACCTTCTGGCCCTTTAAATACAGTTCCTCATGTTGTGACCCAACCATACAATTATTTTCGTTGCTATTGATAACTGTAATGTTGCTTCTGTTATGAATCGTAATGTAAATATCTGATATGCAGGATGGTCTTAGGCGACCCCTGTAAAAGGATCGTTTGACCGCCAAAGGGGTTTCGACCCACAGGTTGAGAACCGCTGATTTAGCTGGAAGGAGGGTTCAGGCTGCCGGGGCCTGAGGCTCCTGGCGGGTGGGGTGGAGGGGTGAACCTGGAAAGGGAAGAGGAGGAAAGAAAAGGTTTCTTGCATGCTGTGAGCTTTGAGAAACAGCAGCAGCAACTGCCATCTTGCCTCACTGTAGGGAGAAGATTGGACAGAGGGGTGAGCTCCTCCCAGGAGAGCCAGCAGGGGCTTGGACTCCCTCTTCAAAGAAAGGGATTCTCACTGCTCTCCTTCCTCCTCCTCTTCGGGGTTCCTGAACGAGAAGGCAGGCCATTCGCTTCTCTCCGAGGCTCTAGCTTTCTCCCAACCATGTGGGACAACCCATCTGCCCTCTGGGCATGGAGGCTACCCAGCTGGGACAGCTGTCACCCCACTAATCCTGAAGGCTGGGCAGGTGTCACCTTCCTTGAGGCTGCACAGGGTCTGTACTGAAGCAGAAGACCAGGCAAAAGATTAGAAACTAGGCTGGAAGGTGTGGGGCTATCGCTGGGGCCTCCATGGCTGTGGACTTGGCTACCAACTGGACTTGTGACACTGCCTGCCCAGCCCTCCCTCACTGGAAGGGGAGCACACACTCCAGTCGATAAGTTGTCAGCCCCTGATGCTACTGGGCTGCGCAGGACACAGGCCTGAGTCACAGCCAAATGGTTTATCCTGGCTTCTAAGCAGTTGTTAACAAAAGCCCCAGAGAGATTAGGCCTGTTTTATTATTTTTAAATATATTTTTATTGATTTCAGAGAGGGAGAGAGATAGAAACATCAATGATGAGAGAATCATTGATTGGCTGCCTCCTGCAAGCCCCTCACTGGGGACTGAGACTGCAACCCAGGCATGTGCCCTGCCCGGGAATTGAACCGTGATTCATAGGTCGACGCTCAACCACTGAGCCAAGCCGGCTGGGCAGATCTAGCCTGTTTTAGGTGCCCCTAAAATACCCTGCCCCCATCCCCAACCTGGATCTCCAATCTGGACCTGTTCCCATCACATTCTGAATTTTCTGGTTCTGTTGCTAAAACAAGACAGTTCTGAAAGCAGGAACTATATCCCATCTATTTTCATATCCCCAGGTGCCTTGAGGCTACCTGCTCACTGTACATTAATTCAGCAAAGATTTACTTTTTTAATGTATTTTTTAAAACTGATTTCAGAGAGAAAGGGAGACAGGGATAGAAACATCAATGATGACAGGGAATCATTGATTGGCTGCCTCTTGCAAGCCCTCCCACTGGGGTGGAGCCCAAAACCTGGGCATGAGCCCTGACCAGAATCAAACTGTGACCTCCTGGTTCATGGGTTGACACTAAATCACTGAGCCACACCAGCTGGGCAATTCAGCAGACTTCTTGAACCACCTATTAATGTGCTGGATGCTGAGAATACAGTGATGAGCATGTATCTGAAGGACAAACATGTCCTTTTTGCCTTCATAGAGCTTATATTCTAGTAGAGGAGTCAGACCAAAAAGATTAAAAAATGAAACAATTAGAAATTGTGATAAAGGGTAAAAAGATACATGGGACAGAAATAGAGAAGAATGTGTGTTGAGGGGGAATCTGCTTTAGATAGAGTAGTCAAAGCAGGTTTCCCCATGAGGTGACATTTAAGCTAAATCTTAAAGGGTAAGGAGTGCTCTTGGTTGAGTGCATAAATGAATGAAGCGGTGTGACTTTGGGTTAGTTACTTCCCCTCTCTTGACCTGTTTCCTCACCCGAAAAAGCTGGAGACTGGTCTAAATTCCTTTTAAGAACCATGATATTATCAGGGCTCATCATGATGGAGGCAGAAAATGGGGGAAACCAGGGCCATGGTCAAGGGGAAGTGAGGTAGGAGCTAGGGTGGGAGGAGAGGAGGGAATGTGGCAGACAGCTGGTCAGGCAAGAGTTGTAAACATTTCTAGAAGGCGTTCACAGGCACAGTAAGAGAGGACCCGCCTCCACTAGTTACTGGTACGAGAGACAACCCTAAAGCAGGGCCTGAGTCACCCCTGCATGTTTCTCCTTGGGAACCATCGGGGAGAGACTATCTCCCACTCCAGGACTCTTGCTCTGGAGAAAGACTTTGTCTTTCCGGCCCCGTTCTTGCCTGAAAAGAGTAGGAGGAGATGGTGTTTGTTAGCAGCCGGCAGAGATCGAATGAAAATAAAACCCAGATGACTCAAATAGAACCAGGCAGGCAGGAACATTGATTAGACACATGTGACAATACAGGACCCGGGTGCCTCCAGTTCTAGACCTTAGAAAATTAGGGTTCGATGCACAACCACTCTGGGACTCCAACTGCAGCTGCCGATCTTCCATCAAATCAGAGGTTTGTGCAGTAGTAGAAAGACCTTTATTTCCTCACCAAATCCCCAAATTCCTTTGGAGGCAACACACATCCTCTAATCAAATTAGCCAGGTTTGAGTGGAAATTGTTTTAGTAACTCTTTGTGCTTTGTTTTCTCCACAACCACGTTCCTTTCTGCTACCTCCCAAACAGAATTTTGAAAAAAATTATGATTATTACAGTTTTGAATACTTATGAGGTATTGTCCATTAGAATGTGGACTCCATAGGATGGAGATTTTTATTTGCTTCATTTCCCAGTGCCTTTAACAGTGCCTGGCACATACTCAATAGTTGTCGATCGATTAAACTAATTCATGTGTGAGGCTCTATGCTAAGAAGTTCATATGCATTTTCTTTCACTGGGATTCCTATTTTACAGATGAGGAAACTGAGGATCAGAAAAGTTGAATCTGCTCAAGGTCATACTCAAAAAACTGTGTAATATTTTGAAGGGCAGAGCTCAGAAAATAGCAGGCATTGCTTATTGCTATCGAGAGCTTATTCATACAGAGCCATTTCTCATTCCTCTTCCCTTCAGGATGGTGACAAGCTGCCCCTCTGTATCCAGAGCCCAGGCAGGGTGCCAGAGCTGAGATGTACTTTCCTTTCAGAAAAGAAGGTACATTTCACATGGAGGAAAGCTCAGCTCAGGAACTTGGGGCCTATGGGCACCTGGGGAGAGAAGAGCTCAGACATCGAAGGCCTCCTGCCCACATACGCTGCCCAGGGACAGCTGACAGCACTGGGCTAATTCAGATGGGGAGCTTACTCAGCAGCTCCATCCAACATATATCCCACCCCCAGCCCTGGTTCCCAAAAGCTTCTAGCTCAGAGGGAAAACAGCAGAAGTGCAGAAGATGGTTCAAACCCCAATGGTGAGGAAAGTTGACTTCATCCGTCCCCGAATGGAGAGTCTGACAGTTGCCAAAGGTTAACAATGGACCTCATCATAGAATCAAGACAAAATGGCTTTGCTACTTAATTACAAAACTTCATCCAGGGCTCTCTGTGCTTCACCACAAACTAAACGTTGGGAGCAGAGACCCATTTGCTGCTCCTGCCACAGGGCTATGCAGAATCTATGGAATCAGCACTGCTTGCCAGCCCATAGGACTTTGGGCAAGGTTCTTAGCCCCTCTGGGCTTGTTTCCTTATCTGTAAAATGGGACTAAAATGATGCCTTTGTTATAGTGGGGATCACTTTCATTACTAGTAATCTACCTAAGATGCTTATTACTAGCCTGACATCTGCATAAAATGGACACCATATGATGATTAATTGTTGACCAATCCTGTTCCCAACCCTCCAATTAACCCAAGGTTAAGAGACTAGCCTGAAGACACGCAGCAAATGAGAAGCAGGAGAGTAGAAGCCCAAGTCTTCTGCGGCCCTGCTGTTCCCAAGTTCCTGGATGCTCTGCCCTTCAAAGGCTGATGCCATTCCAGAAACTCCCTGTACTGACATGTCATTAGTTCAACAAATATTTATTGAAGGTCTACGATACGTCAGATGCCGCTCCAGTCTGGGGATATAGCAATAAATAAGACAGCCAAGGGCACTGCATTAGGGAGCTTACGTTATAGTTGGGAAAACTGGCAAAAAATCACTAAGCAACAAACTTAAAATATACTTTTAAATAGTCCTATGAAGGAAATAGATGCATATTATAAATATGTACATGGGCCCTTGTATTTATATTGCTAAGATGCTGATAGCATCAGTATAGGACAAACATGAGAAAAGCTTGGATTTTGCTGTCAGACCTGGGTTTGAATTCAAGCTCCATGTGACCTTGGTCTGGTGTCAATCTTTCTGCCCCTCCTAACTTCAGCAGTAAACAGGAATAGTGACTGTTCAAGTTGCTGAGAATCTATATAATAAAAGCCTAAGCGGCCATTAAGGCAGAACGTCCAGAACAACTGGTCGCTATGATGCACATTGACCACCAGGGGGCAGATGCTCAGTGCAGGAGTTGCCCCCTGGTGGTCAGTGTGCTCCCACAGGGCCAGAAGCGGGGCTCATGGCTGACAAGCGCAGTGATGGCAGCACCAAAGGAGCAGCAAGCAAAGCAGTAAGGAGCAGCGAGTAGGAGGGCAGTAAGGAGGGAGGGGTCCCAGACTGCGAGAGGGATGTCCGACTGCCAGCTTAGGCCCGATCCCCGCGGGGAGCAGGCCTAAGCCAGCTCCCCAAGGAGTCCTGGACTGCGAGAGAAATATCTGACTGCTGGAGGGGGTAGGGAGGGATCAGACCTAAGCTGGCAGGCAGACATCCCCCAAGGGGCAGGCCAGGCTGAGGGGACACCCCCTGCACAATTTTATGCAATGGGCCTCTAGTTAAGATATAATAGAACAGCCCTGACTGGTGTGATCATCATCCCATACACCAGTCACCAGTTCGATTCCCGGTCAGAGCATGTACAAAGGTTGTGGGTTTGAACCCTGGTCAGGGTGCATATGGGAGGCAACCAAGGTTCCTCTCTCTCCCTAAAACCAATTTAAATAAAAGCTATAATGGAACATACAAAATCTCAATGTTTACTATTTTTCACTTCAGGCTGGAAGACTTACTAAGGCCAGGTGGAACTGTAACCTTGTTCTGTGTTCTTTTTGAGTGTTTGCTGGGAAGCAGGTATATGGGAATGAGGAGTTATCTGGAGAAATGTTGAAAAGGAAAAAAACAACTTTAGCATAGAAAGCAAATCTCTCCCTGCCATTTGATGTAATTTTTTTCCTCTCAGTACACCTTTCCTGGAGAAATGTCCTTGGTCAATTACCATCGCTCAGGATTTAATGCAGTCTGATTAGAATTACAAGTTACCTCTATAACCAAGTAATCTCCAAAATTGGACATAAAAATATTAGAACTTTTGTTTATATTTACTTTTTGATCAATTGCTCTTTAATTCTATTAATTCTGTTATGATTACACAATATATGGGTCCAGTAGTACAGGTATAGAATTTATAAACAGTTGGGAGTAGGCATGATCAAAATTTCTTGACAAGTGTGTGCATCTGTAAAAGGTAAAAGGCCACATGGAGGCTAAGGTAGGAGGAATTAGGGTTAGCCCTCATTGTATTTGCCTAATGTAAACTAAACAAGTGGGTATTTCCATAAAATACCCTGCAGGTGCCACTATGCTACTAAGCAGCAGGGTGAAGGAAAGGACCCAGTTCCTAAGTCCCAAGTTAGTGTTCATTTCTCTACAAGTTTCTGGGGCAAAAGTGGAAGTAGAAATTAAATACGTGTTGCAACCTAAAAAGCCAACCTTTGTGGTGAGCCTTTAAGCAGCCCATATCATTAACCTGAAAAATATGCACGAGGCCAATCTTTAGCAGCTTCACCCTCTCCGAACAGGACACCTCCTCCGTGTAGTACCTTTGCACTCCCTCACTTGTGGGGAATGTTTTTATTTCCCACTACATTACATACAGTCCATTCTTAAGAGATGTGTCTGTCCTTCCTCTCCCCAACTCACACACACCACCACCACACGTTCCAGCTTCTTTCAAACCACTCATTTCACCTCCAAGGTGACACCATCTGGAACCAAAAATGAAGCGGCAAAATGTTGAAAATAAAAATAAAGCGGACTTTATTTAGAAGATAAAGGTGGTGGTATCAGTTTTGGTTAATAAAGTTGGGCTCAAGTGTTTTAACAGGTCTTCAATGCCATCACAGACTGGCATGCCAAGGGCATTCTAAATGCCAATTACAGATTGACGTTGTTTCGAAAACCAAGATGCTATCAAAAGCTGATGGAGTTTGGATTTCTCTTAAAGTCAGACTAACACACTTCTTAAATATGAGTGACTAGATTACTTGGTTCTGAAAGTGAAACACTACACTGAGCAATTCCCCTCCCTTTCTCCACAAGTCCCTAAGGCAGCATCACAGTTGCCTCTTGACAGCCAACATTTCAACAGAGGGGAGCTGAGGGGAACTGGAAAAATGAAAAGCAAAATTAATAAATGTAATTGTAATTGATATAGGCAGCTGCCACTGTGGCAAACCAAAGCCTAGTCCGATGTCCATTTTCTTCACATTTGCACTGACATCTTCCCAAGCAGACGGTAACTACATTCTTGAAGGAATGTGCCAAGACTAGGGAGGGGGAGGCCCAGAGAAGAGTGGATAGAATGTATTTTGCATCCAGTTGCCTTAGGTGGTACAATCGATTAAGGACAAATACCCAGACTATGGAATACCCACTAGCCAAAGGTAACTAGATTAAATGCATAACCAGTGCAGAGTAACTGCGAGGCACCAAGACCACAATCCAACCAGCCCATTTTCCTCCTCTCCATCACTGAATGGATCTGGGAGAAAGCTTTAATAACAGCACTTGTCAACTGCTTCCCTGGAACAAAATGACAAAACACACGCAAGGTTTTGTTTTCATTATGGTTCTTGGTGTACTTTATTCTCCTGCTGTCTAGCTAAGCAGCCCACACAGGACAGAAATGGGTAGCACTGAGGAATGATCATTTTTTTCTCCCCAATATTCCTGCCGCATCCCTAAGCCTTGACCAAACCCTGTCTACCAGGAATGGTTAGTATACCCTCTCCCTCAAGGAACAACTAAAATTTACACAAGGCATTAGAGGGCCAGGTCTCTTCTTAGGGCTTAAGAGCTGGTGCACTCTATTCACAATGGAGCGTCTTTTCTTCAAATACCTGGATTTATTTTTTGTACACTGGTTCATAGATCGGCACTTGACTTTGAACCTGGCACCAAAAGGCACAATATCTGATACCCTGTACAAGAGCTATTAGAGATGCTGCCATATGGATGGGCAAAACCGAGCCAAACCCACATATGAACGAAAGGCTTGGACAGGAAGGGGAAAATGGCAGAGAAATACATAAGCCCCTATTTTTTTGCTAGAATGAAAACGGAAGTGGGGATTTAAGGTCTTGTTTTTCAATCCTCCAAATACTAGGAAGCATTTAAGAATCTTCCTTGGTCTTTTTGAAAGCAGCATATTCAAAATGCCGGCAAAAACTCCTCTAATAACTGCAAAACCAGAAGAGGATCAAAGCTCACCCACATCCCTTATTGCTGAAAGATTCGAAAACCCAAATTCAGGGTGCCCTGTTCCCTGTGTAAAGGGAACATAATTAAGTCTGATTTATGGTTATCACAGCACATCACACTTTTAAAAAAATATTAAAGCGTGTGACCAGGGGAATGTTTGACACCATTTTATTAATCTTCAACTTCAGTGGAAAAATATAACCTTTTTCAAGTGCCACTTTCATCACAAGAGTTCTAGTCTAAGTATATGTATATATATACTTATATATTCTTTTGTTGTTGGTTAGTTGGTTTTGAAGTGCAGCAAGAGACCAATACCGCATTGCAGTCAATCAAATAAGAGAACAGAAGGCCAAGCAGTTTCCAAATGGTTATTTTATCAGATTGTTTGAACATTAAATTTATCCTTGTTTGCAATCCAAAATAGTTACCTGAAGTTTGCTATGTGTGTGTGTGTGTTTACTTTATTGTGTATTTGTTTTCTAAACTCTTTGGCACAATTTTCTGGGGGCGTTCAGACTGCCTTGATACATGTCAGAAGAGAACGTTTCTTTTGTGCTGCCAATCTGAGCATTTAAATTTTGTTTTTTTGGGGGGTTGTGGCTTTCTTTTGTTTTTGAAGTCTGCATTCTTTATTTGTAACAATTGTATTTTTATTTTTTCTATATCATCTAACTCCAGAGTTTTTTTTTCTCCCCCCTCCCCCCATTCTACATTCACAGTTGAACCATATTATTAGGAAAGGCGCCTTGATGAGATAGATCAGAATGGGAGCTCTGAACATTCGTCAGTGTTTTCCCTAGAAGATAATTAAAAAACAAAACAAAACAAAAAATGAAACCTAAAGAGCATCCCCTCCCCCCCCTTTTTTTACATCTCTTGTGCTGCATCAGTAGACAGAACTTCTGTTAGTTTTATGAAATGCAATGTCTAACCCCTTTTTTTCCGGGAAAAAGAAACTGCAATGACTTGAAGTTGAGAATGTGGATACCGCCTCACTCACACACACTCATTCTCAGACTGTAAAGAATCCCTCGCCCTCCTTTTAGCCGGCACATACAGTACCGTATGGCAAAGGTACACCAAAGGTGGGCTCGAGACCCAGGCTCCATCTTTCTTATCAGTAGCAAAGGCCAGGCTGCCTTTTACAACAAAGCACCACAGCTGAACCCAGTTCCTCCTCCTCCTCCTCCTCCCGCAAACTAGTCATTCCACTCACTCAACACCGGCCAAAAGACAGAAAGGCTAGTTCTAGCCTCTCCTGGGAAGAGACAGCTTTCTTTTGTAAGTAAATCCATCGGTTATTCTCTCTTCCAAGATGGCCGACGTTATGGTTTTCTACGAAGTCAGTGCTTACTTAGCTCACTAACAGCACTGCTGTTGGCGGCTGCGGCTGCTGCTGTGGCAGGATTTTCAATGTGGTGTGTTTTCAAGCCTCACTCACTCATCCTTTCATTCCCAAACATTCAGCATCCGTGCACACTCCTCACTTCCGGGTTTTTCAAAAGATTGGAGATTTCCAGTGGGGGTCTCAGGTTATCATCCCAATGGTAACAAGATCTAAAAATAGATGGAAAAAAGGTCAATCTTTGAGATCACATACAGCTGGTAGAGCCAAACACCTCTGATTCCTACAATTAAGTGCTCAGAGGCCAGAATGGAATTTGTCAACTTTTCAAGGACTGATTATTTTTCTTGCCTTCCTATGTGCCATTTATTGGCACATCCGAAGGTGGAAGGGAAAGTAAAAAAATAAAATTCAAAATAGCCAATTTTACTGAGATCTGTAAAGTAAAATAACTGAGTATGTGAGAGAAAAATAAATTAAAACTACATTGCCAAGCAGGGGTCAGACAACTCTGACTTTGGATATCTTCCGTAGAGCTAAGCGCTAAGCAACGTCTAAAAGCACAGCAGTCAAGAAAGAAAAGGGCACAGGGAAGGGAATAGAGAGTAGAAAAGAGAATTAGGGGAAATGCCATTATTGAGGACTTTATTAAGGCCCAAAATGTGGGCACTTCAGTGAATTCTAGTTATAAAAGTTCTGTTCTTCATCACCACGAGGAATCAAATATTTGGCTCAAGGGAAGATTGAGGTTGTCTGACCCTTCCACTAGTACAAAGCTTAGGAACAAAGGCCCAGCTCAGACGCACTTACATGGGAAACAGTACAAAACAAAATACCAAATGAAAGGAAGTCTTTGTCAGAACAATCTAAATAAATGCTCCTCCTCCCCAAGAAAGTACAAGAAAGAGGGCAGTAAAGACAAGCTCTTACCAAGCTTGGTTCTTCAGTTTCCTCAGTTCTTTTGTTGCCCATGTAGCAAGGGTTTTTGCTTTGTTAGTCTTCGATCTCCGTCCTTCAGTTAACAGTTCATGGATCATTGGCCTAGCTTCTACTAATTTCAGGACATCCTTCCCAAATGCTGTACATAAGTCCCTGTGCAAAATAAACACACCGGAAAATGAGCTCCTGGCCTGATGTATTGAGCTCAGTAATTATGTGTTGAGCCTCCGAAACCAGTGCTAAGGTAGCTATGGGTTTCTTCTATCATTTACTTTTTTAAACTGAAAGAAATCTTATAAATAGGTAAGTCTAACACCTGCCCTCAAAAGATGAAAAAATGGGGTCTAAAGAGGTAGAATGACTTACCAAAGTCAATCATCCCACCGCTATTTCATGGTAAAATCAGAACTAGAACCCAAGTCTTTGAGCTTCTCAAAACCAATGTTCTTTCTTTAAATGATGGTTCAGAAACCCCCAATTTGTTGACCAACATCAGAATATGGGATGGACATAGATCTAATGCTGCTTTTATACCTATTTCACTTCATAAGGAGTTTAGTGGGAAGAAATTAGAAATCTGGAGGGTCTGAAATGAAGCTAGTAGAGCTAATGTATTAAATGAATTATTATTTGTGAGAACTCAAAACATGACACCATGGGTTCTATGAAAGAAATCTCCTCTGTACCAAAGTGGATAATTACCCTCTAGTCTACCCGCCTCCCCCAATTTTTTTTTTTAACATGTCCTCTCACTTTCCACCAGAAGCTAAACTCAGCTATTAGAAGCCAGGTATAACCTACCCTATCAGTCCAGCAGCACAAGCTACTACTCCGTCTGTGTGATCCTCATCCCCAGCAATGTGGTCAATGAAAGACAGAATAAATTCTACTCTGGGTTGTACGAGCATCACATCCGCTATAAAAGAAAGAGATGGTCTGATGAACTTGTCCCATATCTGGCAGGGCTATACCCCATTTCAAAATTTCAAAATACTCTAACCCCATCAGGCAGGTGTCAGGCTAGAGAACTAGTTGAATATAATTATACCAAATTATTCTTTCTCAGATTAACATGCCATTTCTCAAGTCAACAGAAAAAGCAGATATTCTTCTTCTATTAAGCTGATATAATACAGCAAAAACAAAGCCCATGATATCGAAGGGGTAAAAGACAAAAATCCCCCACTCAATTCAGTTGCACAAGGAGGGTGTGTGTATCAACAACTGCCACTTAGGTTGGTGCAGATGCAATAGCCTTGCTGTATCCCATCCCTTGCAAAGCTCAAGGAATGAGATAATGTAGCAAAGAAGGAGCAAAATAATAAAAGTCTGTATCCCCCCCTCCCGCCCCCCCGCCCCCTCACTAAAGCTCCTCTTTTCATAAGGGCACTGTTCCTCCTTCTCCCCTTCCTTAAGCAATAGGTACTCATCTACAAGTAAGCTACAGAAGGAAAGACACAGCCCATCTGACTAAGTGCACCCAGGACTATGTAAGTTCGGTTGTATACTCAACGGTGTACGTTCTCCTGGTCTCCCTTCAATCCCTGGACAATTCCGGTATAGGCTTCCAAGCAGCTTTCCCTTAGTTCATTCAGATAATCCACCATGTCATAGTCCGACTGTAAGACACAAAGGAAAGAATTTCCATCATCTTGATCATTTTTAGTTATAGTATGTTTGTCAAAGTTCTACTCCTCTAATCGGGGCTGGACTGAAAGATAGCTTTAAGCTTACCTTGTCCACC